CGCTACCACCGGAATAAATTGTGGTCGGGAGAATCTAATAAGGCCTTAATAAGTTTGTCGGCCTTTCTCAAATTGGATGTGGCTAGTTGAGGCGATACCGGAGACAAAATGAAGGTGGCACACTTGGGATACTGCTGCATAATAAATACCAATCCCAATTCGATTGATACAGCATTTTCCACTACACTTGCACTTGTAGCTAACAAAAGGAAAGATCACGAATATATCATTAGAACAAAGGGATTAGTTGACCCTGTCCTCTTTGGTTTCCCATCTTGGGGTGATCATTCCTCTTACTTGCAAGATTTCATAGATATTCAATTTTCACTTTTCATTTTTCGAAATTTTAAGGTCATGGTTACCAATTACACGGTTGGTTAGACTTTATGATCCAAACGTCACGGCGCATTTATATGAGCGTAAGGTTAAGGGCTATTCCACTCAAAATATCATGAAGCGACGGGAGTAAAAAACATTGACATCATACATGCACTTCATATTTTCTGTTCCATATATTTTGGGGGATGAAAACCTGGAATTGCACTAAGATAGATACAGATAATTTTTGATACAAAACATCCTTGATCAACATGGGGACCCAGATATTAGTAATTATTACTTTGTGTTAATACGTTTTTATGGCTTCAAAGCAAACTATTGAAAAAGAACTCAAATATATGAAACAGTATTTCGAGCCCTGCTAACCTTCCTTGATATAAAAACTTTCGTTAACATGAAACTACAGTACTTAATCCCGTAGCCCTGACTTAAGCACAGTAACGCGGATAAGCGAAAAACGCGGCAATGCCGGGGCACCGTGGTTGGTAATTACGCCTAGCAATTGTATATTTCATGTCTACTGATTTTTGATGTCTTATGTCTAATGTTTATTGTTTGACTTGGTTCCGTATTGTTTTGTATTATCATTTCAGGTTTGGGAGGACAACTTGTAAAGGCGTTGATACACCTGTTTTGTCCTCCCTTCCACTTGTTTTTTGCATGTGGTGAATTCAAATAAAGAAATAAAGAAATAAAGAAAAGCGCTGATTTCACAGGGCAGTGTGCGGACACACATGGTGTGGTGATGCATGGAGCCATTTGCCAGCCCTGACCAGTCGGGCCATAACTCCCCATCAACCACGCGCAAGGAGGGAGGGAATCACGCTCCTGGGTCACTTCAATTTGTAGCGGGCCATCCGCGTTTTGGTACCGCAGTTGTGAGAACTGATGGGATAGCGGAACTGCCAGGGGAGACCATGGGTGGGTGAGGAAATACCCACTTTTAGTATTAACATCGGCGGGTGTGTGATTGGCATGTGGTTAAGTGTGGTGGGAGGGAAAACAGGGCTTGAAACATTTTTTTCTGCATACCTGTACTGGTGCAGGTAACATTGAAAATTACCTGCACTAGACAATTTTTTTTCGGTACCGTTCAGAAAATTGTTTAAAATTATTTCAAGCCCTGTACCTAGTAGTATAGTACAATATTCAAAAACCTTACATTTTTAATGTTTACCCAAAGACCTGATCTAAAAACTGGACAATTTCCTTTTACAATTTCTACCTTAATCACTGTTTCTCTCAATTCCCCAATGTTGAAACGATGCATGAATTGCAGCAATTTGACGAATAATAGCAATACATTTCTGCTAATTCCTACACAGAAATTCCCATGTGCAGTATAATCCAGGGGTTACCACTGTTAAA